GGCACATTTTCCTCATCCGTGTCTGAATCTTGATGCTCTGGCTCTTGAGCTTCTAGTAGCGGACTTTCTGGTACAGAAATTTGCTCAAGTGTGACTTCTGGTGTTTTCACGACTTTGGCTGTCGCTTCCGTTCTTAGGCGAGCTGCTGCAATTGCGGTAAGCGGTTTTGCGCTTGTGGCGTCACGCGCGACAATTTCCTCTCCTCTCTTTCTTTTTCCAGACATTTGGAGTGTTAGTATGGATATTGGTGTAATGACCTCGGCTGCTGGCATCGAAGGACCGAGACGAATGGTTTTTGTCTGGGTTGCGGCGCACGCGGTCTGAAGTAGTTTAGCGTCAATGTGGCTGGAGGTCCGCGCGCAAAAAGTTCCAACTGAACTCACCAACTTTCAAGGCGCAAAGAATATAGCTCAACACACACCATGAAGGACGTAAAGAAAACAAAGGTACCGCTGCCTGGCGCGAAGCCGAATCGAAAACCTCAGAGCGCCCCAACGAAAGCACAGTTGAGCCAGGAAACAATCGATACCGACAGCGATTCTGCCAGCGAAAGCACGGCGCGACCGAAGAAAATCGAGAAGCCAAAAGCCACCATTGGCATTCATGTGAACGGTGTACCCAAGACCAAGACGAAGTCTAGCAAGACAGACGCAAACAATTCTAATTCTGCATCGAAATCCAAACCCTCCCCGAAAAAACCGGCGCCGAAGCAAATCGTGACGGAACGCGATGTTGCAGACCTTTCGAGCTCCGAGGTCAGCGACGACGATGACGATGCGCCAGCCCGAGACATACAGACCAAGCTTCCAGGAAATGAGGCCAAGAGGGATGCCTCGAGCGACAGCGAGAGTGAAAGCGAGAGCACGAGCAGCTCAGAGAGTTCTAGCGACGAGTCGGATACTGATGATGCGCCACAACCGACACGCAATCCAGCACCATCGCAACCCCAGACACAAGCACCAACACAGTCGCATGCGGTAGAATTTCAACCGACCAGGGCCTTTGTGCCCCCGAAAGGATTCAATCCTGTGCTACTGAACGACAAGACCATTTCAAGATCGTCGACAGGCTTGTTTGAAAACTTGGAAGGGAAGCAAGTATGGCACATTACTGCTCCCGCCGGTGTTTCTTTGAAAGACCTCAAGGAGCTTGCAATGGAAAAAGTTAAGGGCGGAGAGGTGGTTTTGAGCCACAAGGGCAATGACTTTGGCTTCTCCCAAATGAACAAAAGTGAGGCTGGTACACGACAAGTTTTTGTGCCCGGAAAGGATGGCATGAAGCCTGGTTTGTCCACCTATTAGTGTTGATATGACATCAACTGACTGTCGCAGTGCCTGTCCCAATATCACAGAGTCTGCGTTTACGGCGTATCATGCAACTACCCAAGCTCAGCTCGCTACAAGCCGACCAAAACACTGGCTCAGAAGCAGCAGCTTCAATAACACGATCCACCATTCGAGCACCACGACCCCAAGTCAAGGGCCTCAAGATGCGCTTCCTTCCCACCGGCTTTGCTGGCAATGACCCAGGAACTATCGGCGACTCGGATGATGAGCCTGAGCCAGCTCGGGAAACCGCAGTGCTTGGAATGCCAGAGTCTAGCAAATCCTCCAAGAAGCAGAAGAGGAAGCATGCCGATGTAAACGGCACGGAGACAAGCGAGGCACCCGTAAAGAAGAGCAAAAAACACCAAGATTCTGAAGAGGCCAAGCGGAAGGCGGAGAGGAAGGCTAAGAAGGAGAAGAAGCGAGCCAAAGAGGTGGCTTCTGTGGGTTCATGAAGGTAGCCTGGGGCAGATTGTAATTGAAAGGTACATATAAAGGGAGGGTTTCCTGGAGCCTTTGATAGCATGCAGCGAGCATGTGAGTAGGAATGCGAACAGGAAGCGTCAGATGAGGGGGGCAACCTGCATGGCTTGCAATGCACTCACAAAAATTGCAAGGGAATGTTGAAGAGAGGCCCGTGGGTTATTGATGTTGAGGTGGCGGCGATGTGAGGGGAATGCTCGTGCTGCGAGCGGGCACATTATATAAGCCAGGGCAGCAAAATACATATCAAATACCTCTAAGGCCTGTAAAAAGTCACTTCGCCCGTGGCATTGCTGTCGTCGAACACTGGGCTGGGCAGAGGATGCAGGCGTGGTTAGTGGATGTTAAATCCGGGCAGTTTGGCTGTTTTGGGCGGCAGGGCGGTACGCATCCGGGCCCCTGGTAGCTTGCGATGACGGATTGACATTAGCGGCCAGGGCTAAACAACGCGCGCTCTGTTGTCACAGGCGAGCCAGGCCATCACCGCAATTGTCGTGAATCTTTGCCTTGACCGCACCATGCGAATGAGCAGGCCTCGCAGCTTTTGTATCCCACGCGACTGCCCTGACCGCTGTTGCTGCTGCTCCTGCGCGTGCATCTACCGTCATGGCCCCCCCGTCCAACGACGCTTCTTCGTTCCATGCTGAGCCCTTACAAACAAAGAGCAACTCCACACTCCCGACCCCCATGCCCACGCCCACCGACAACGAGCACATGGCACACCAGAAATCCCACGACGATCATGATGATACCTTTGACCTGCCCGACTCAGACCTGCCGCCGCTCCCCATCGGCGACGAGGACGACGACAGCATCATACCCCGTGTAGTCGGTGAAGAGGACGCGAACCAGGAGAGCGTCTTCGACGATGGCGAAATGAAGCGTCAATTAATGGACATTGAATCAAGTTTCATCCCAGAAGCACCCATCCACGCCGAAGCAACACAGTTACTGCCCGGTGCCGACGACACGTACCTATTCGGTGGCTCGCCGGGCAATTCGCAGCAGTCGTCTCGTCCAGCCCACGACGACTCGGCCATGCGCCGGGTCATGGACACGCTTGAGGAGATGACAAAGCCCAAGAAGAAGCCCAAGAAGCTCGAGGTGCGCAGTGGTCACACACCGACCCAGTCGCAGAACCGAAACTCCTTTCAGGCCGACTCGCCATCCTTCTCCGAAGCCCCTACCCCTGCCGGTGCTTACAAGACGCCCGCCGCTCGCCCGCTAGATTTCGACCTCGACGACTCCATGGACGCCGACACATCTACCTCAGATGTTGCGCCTTCTTCGCCTTCTGCACAAGCAGCCCAACGAAGCCAATCGCGCTCTACATCAGACCACACCGTACAGCAGGCGCGAGACGATGACGGCGAAGGCGACGATGACGATGGTGAAGAAGACGAAGAGGGGGAGGAGGGGGAAGATGACCAAGACACAACCTCTCAAGATGGGCAGGCCGCTCCAGGTGCCCAGCAGAAAGATGGCGACATGCGGCGCCCGACGTCTAGCGCTTCCACCGTCAAGGCCCCTGATTTTTCCCAGACCGAAGACGGTTCCTCGCTCACCAACACGACTGACTCGAGTATGGATAGCACATCCATGCCCCCACCGAGTGCTCCTGCAACTGTCCAAAAGGTAAGTAATCGACCAAACTACCTGCAGCACCGCAATTCGAGCCAGCGGTCATCCGTATCCTCCCTCACCAATCGCTCTGATGCATCTGGAGATGGCGCAACCGAAGAAAGCCTAGGCGCAGATTTTGCCCTGCAAACTGGAGGTGCGGTACCACGCTCAAGTGGACCGCAAAAAATGAGCATTGCCCTATCCCGACTGCCGAGTTTGGGTAGCATCGCATCTTCCATGTCAGGATACAGTGACACTAACCCTTGGGACAAGGGCCGGAGGATCAGCGCCAATTCTTTGTCCGCCTTTCTTCAGCCAGATAATAGCCTGGGTCGGTTAGAAGAAGAAGTCCCCAGTGCAACACCACCCGAGACACCACGTGCTCCCAGCGTTCAGCCCGCTGCGCCTACCGACACGGTCATTGCCAGACACATCCAAGATATCCAGGTGCCGGATTCCATCGCGCGCGACTTCCGGGCTAAGCACTCACGGTCGCCTGACAGACGGCACATGGCTACTCCCTTCACACGCAGCAAGCACAACCTGACACTCAAGGAGCAAAACAGCAAGATTGATAAACTTAGCAAGGAAAACTTCGATCTCAAGCTTAAAATCCACTTCCTTGACCAGGCGCTCCAGAACCGATCTGATGAGGGAGTTAAGGAGATGATCTCGAAGAACGTTCAACTGCAAACAGACCTAGCTACGGAGAAGAAGGAAGGCCAGTCGATGCGAAAGAAGATCAGGGATCTGGAGCGCAGGCTCAAGGCTCAAGAAGAAGGATCCGCCAATGCCAAAGATGCAGCTAGTGGCTCTGAGGATGGCAGAAGCGAACCGTCATCGAGACAACAGGAGCTGGAAGAGGAGATAGAATTCCTCCGAGAGCGCCTAGAATCAACTGAGATTACTGTAGATCAGTGGCAACAGGAGGCTCTTCAAAAAGAGGCTGACAATCGACGCATGGCCGACTACATCAAGGCAATGCGCGAAAAGGGTTCGAGCGGAGAAGCCGCTGGGTTCGATGAAGCTATCAACATGTGGAAGGAAGACTTCGAGGATGAGCGAGCTAGACGCGAGCAAGTTGAGACACGCTGTCAACAAGCTGAAGCCGAAGCCGATCAACTTCGCGAAGAAGCTCAACGTCTAAGAGAGCAGGTGCAAGAATTGCAACAAAATTCCATGTCGACTAACCACATAAACAAAAACTTCAATAATTCGCGGCGGATCCACCAATCCTTCAACGGACGCTCAAACGATGATTTTGAAGGCAATGACCCCAATGCACCAGCGTCAGCTGGCGGAACAAGTAGCACTCTTGTGGAACAACTGCAGAGCGACAACGACAAGCTACAGCGAGACTTGCATGCACAAGCTTCTATGCTCACATCAAGAAACCGAGAGAATCTCCGACTGAGAGAAGAAAACGAGGGCCTGAAGCTTACCATCAGGAGGGGAGACGCTGGATCGACTGCCGGCGATAGCATTCTGGAGCGCTCAGTTTCTCGTAACCACATGCGGTCCGTGTCACGGGCAAGTGGTGGTACTCGTAATACGCAAACAAGCGACCCTGACCGCGATGACTACGAGGCCAAGAATGCAGCACTGCGAGACGAGTTGTCACACTTGAAACTGTCGTATAAAGAGCTCGACGACCAATTGAACGGTCACCTCGACATGCTTGAGACCTCAGAGAACAAAGTAAGGGAATTGGAAAAGGAGATAGAGGCTCAGACAGAAGATCTTCAGGCTTTGGCTAGCGAACGTGACGAAGCGCTGGAGCTGCTCCAAGACAAGGAACAGGAATGCGAAGAGCTGAGACAGGAAGCCTTGGACACTGTACAGCGGCTGGAAATCGAGCTTGAGCAGAAGCAAAACGAGCGTGATCGCCTCTTCAATGATTTGGAGAATATCACCGAAGACTTCCACGCTTTGCAGCAGGAAATGAAGAACGTCAGCGAAAGCCTGTTGGCGCTCGAGGACGATCGAGATGCAAGTCTGCGCAAGATCCAAAATCTGGAGTCTGAACTTAGCGACGCCAATGAAGAGCTGAACAGGCAGGACAAGCTCATCAGCGAGGAGAGATCAAAGAATGAACGACTAGACATTCAGCTCGAGTCCTGCCAGGGTGAAATCGATTTCCTTCGAGAAGAACAAGAAAGCGACAAGATCAAGATTGGAGAGCTCGAGTCAGCTCTAAACCATACCCAAGCTTCACTGCAAGAGTCGAGAGAACGTTCTCGAGACCTTGAGGAGCGCATGGTGGAAGAGAGACAGCAACGTGATGCCTTGGAAAACCAAGAGAAACAAGAGGTGGAAAAGATCATTACAGATCTTAATGCTCAGCTGACGAAGCTCAAAGAAGATAGCAGGAAGCTGCGCAAGAGCCTCTCTGGCGCAGAAGTCGATGCTACGACCTGGAAACTACGACATGATGAGCTGGAGCAGACCCTTCGGGAATCCCTTGGTAACCTCAGCGGAACCAGGGCCAGTCTTTTCAAGGTAGGAAAGAGCCATATCATTTGGTTGCGTTTCATCAACTTACAAATTGCATAGGATATCACAAAGCTCCAGCGAGATCTTCAGACCACCACGCAAGAGCTCGATGTTGTCAAAACAGACCTCGCAGAGAAGGACCGACTCCTGCGCAACCGTGACACCCTTTTGGAAAACACTGGGATGGAAAGCCGTCGCTTGTCTGAGCTTCTTGAGCGCGAGCGTCACGCACGTCGACAAGACCAAGCAGCCTTTGAGAATGCAAAGCGCAGTCACCAGTCTACCTCCAGGGCGGTTCAGCAGCAAGAAGCAAAGATTGTCGAACTTGAGAACCTTCGTAACCAAGACCGTCACAGACTCCACAATCTGGAGAAGCAGTACAAGGAACAGCTGCTTGAGCGCAACAATCTTCTCTATGCTCTATGGAACCGACTGTCCACTCTTTGTGGCACCGAGTGGTCTCGTAACCACGCCGTTATCAACGGAGAGCTCACATCGATGGAGCTCATTTCGAAGAATGTTACGGGCTTTAACAAGAATATTATCTTTGCGGTGAGGACCGTAGAGGGCATTATTGGCAGCTTCAAGCAAAGGATTCGAAATATCGAAAAAGACTTGCTCCGCGACTACCAAACTCTTGAGCACACTCTCGAAACTCGTGTCAAGAGGCTGGACCAGCTCGAAAAGCTCGTCATGGCTCAACGACAGTCGATTGGAAGACCTAGCACTGTTCGCGGTGGTGTAGTCGATCTCAACACAGCCGAGCTGAACAAGCTCCGGACTGAGAATAAGACTTTGCGATCCGAGGTCCAGACCCTTCGCGCCATCACCACAACGACGCAGTCTGGAAACGACATCATCCTCAGCCGTTCTTCGTCAAGGGCTGGGTCACCCACCTCCAATAAGCGTGCTAGCATGGCACAAACGCTCCTGCGTGCGCAATCCGCCTCGGTCGTGGAGCATCTCTCATCATCGACGCCTGGCCACCCTTACCCTGCTGCTGGACCCGTTCAACCAAGTGAGCAGAAGTGGATACATCGCCTCAAGGAACTAGAACGACGACTGAAAGCCGAGCGAGAGGCGCGACTGCTTGACCGCAGCGGTGCCAGGAAGCGGTTGGAGCAGAAAGTCGAAGAGAACGCCGACTTACGAGCTGCTCTTGAGAAGGAGCGAGACCGAAGGGACGAAGATATCGATCACCCTCAAAGAACTGCGTCAGCTATGGGGAGCCGAGTTGGAGGCAGCGGACGTGCTAGTGTGATTGGAAGCATGCGTCACGCTCACGGGAAAGACAGGGAAGAGGAAATGTATTAGTGCATTTTCTCTTAGTAGATCTTTCCTTTTTCCTTTTTTCTTTGCATGTATATCCTTTTTTTTAAACACCTCTTTCTTCTTCTTTTAGACTTGTCAAGCACTCTTCGAGATTTGTCTCATTTGATGCTTTTTATTTTCATCTTTCATGACCTAATGTATAACGAAGACATAGCTTGACAAAAGAGGTGTCAGGGCATTGCTTAATTGTTTTACTGTGGTAATTTCGGGTATACCATTTTTCGAAAGAGGAAGGTGTCTTGATTATTTTTTTTTCAAATGAAATGGGGTAGCTTGGTGTTTGTGGCATGTGATCTTGCGGTCTTAGGTTGTTGTTCATGTTCAGTGTGAGTGCGTTTTGCGTGTGCAGGTGGCGTTCGATGTAGGGTGAATGGCGTGTTAGGCAACAATCGTGCTTCTATTCTTCGCTTGCAAAATGTGACAGCTACATTTTGTTAGTACCTAGGCACTTACTCTTGCTGCACTCTGCTTTGTCTGCGAGACCCGCTTTTGAATAGCGGCTTCTGGCCGTATGAAAGCAACATGGTGATATTATGTCCATTTGGTTGGTCACGCGTGAAAAGTAGAGCGACGAACTCACCGCCTATCGAGTCCACATGTGGTTCGCAGTGAATGACATTGGCCCTCTCCTAGGACAAGTACTACTCCCACAGCGATATTACTCCCTTGAGCACATTTGCTGTTGTGAAAATACGTGCAACAGGTAGTTGCACTTGACCTGAGTGAAGCAATGGAATCGCATCGCAGTCCCAATTGCAATTACCAGGTTGCCCACCAGCATTCGACAGAGTAAGCTTAGTTAGTACCTAGTGGCGAGCCGGATACTAAATCATCTTCAAGCAATGACCATCGTGATCTAAACTCACTACTACCCACAGCACCACCTCGTACCCAGCAACCAGATGATTCTGATCTTTTCACTATCCTTCTATTCGATCGGCAATGCGCATACAAGACGACACCACTCTCACCGTCTTGGGCAAGGGAACTCACTTCGACCGAGCGAAGATTTTTGGAGTCTAACGCAGATACGCCCTCGGCGCCCCAACTTATGTATACGTCTTCGGGAGACGAAAAAGTACTTCCTTGCAACAACACGTCAGCATACATATCTCAAAGCAGAGCCATGCCACCTAAAAAAGCTGCCGTAAGCGAGAAGAAGAAACCAGTGGCAAAGGTGACTCTAGATAAGACTATAGGGAGGACGACAGTGTCTAAGAAACCAGTTAAATCTGTAGGCGTAGCCGTGGTTAAAAGGGCGACAACAAAGACTGTGGCAACAAAAGCCAGTAGCAAGCAGAAGCCCAGCGAACGCAGCAGAAACGGTACATCGAAAACTGCAAGCAAAGCGGTTGTACAAGAGGATGAAGACACCATCATGATATTGTCCGACGACAACATTGAGACCGATAAAGAAACCAACGAAGCAAAATCCACCCATTCACTTCGCGCATTCGACGCCGCAAAAGCGAGAATCCGGCAACTCAAAGAGCAAGCCGAAAAAGCGCAACGCGAGCTCCTCGCCGAGCAAGAAAAGACAAAAACCCTCCAGACCGAAAAGGATGAACTAACCTGCCTAATAACCGCCCTCAAAGCCGACAAACAAGACTATATCAACGAAATGCTCGCCACAGAAGAAGAAAGACTAAACCTAAAGACGCAGAACGCAAATCTAACCACCCAACTCAAGCAGCTGGCTACGCAGAAAGAAGACGTAGTATCAGCCAAACTTCAACTTGGCACAGAAAACATCCTCCTTCGCGACGAAAACCGGCGCCTCAAAGAATCCTCCTCCTCTGCAAGTACCGCAGCTCCGCCACCGACACTGCAGTCTACATCCACATCTACGCTCCTACCTGCCTCCCCCGCGCCATCCAGCATCGTCTTTGCAGAAGAAGATATAAAGCTAGATAATGTGCGTAAAGTGTATGCGCAGTTGAAAAGGAAGCAGGATAGTCTCAAGGGTATAGCGAGACAGATAATGTGGTGCACGAAGAATATGGTGTTGGGTGAGTTTGGGGAGTTTGGGGTAACGGTGAGGAGGTTGAGGGAGTGGATGGAGGAGGATGAGCAGCAGCAGGGGACGAAGAAGCAGAAGCAGAGTGTGGGGACAGGTGGGTAATGGGATGGGGGAACGGCATGGGAATGCATATATTTCATGAGTCAATTGTCCTTGTGCTTGTGAAGAGAAACCATTTTTTCATGGTGCATGTCAAGTTCCCTACGTACCAAAAGCACGACAAGAAAAATAACCTATAACCCAAACTTACTCTTCATAGCCCCCATAACAAAACCCCTCTTCTGTTTTCCGACAAACTTATTCACGTCATTAGCCCAGCCCGCACTATTCTGTGACAGATTATCCATGCTATCGCCGACGATATTCAGCTTCTCAGTCCGCTCGTTGAGCTGTCGCGATGCCCATGCGCCCCAGCCTTCTTCAGCTTGAGGATCGGCCTGTCCAGGATAGGATTGGTATTGCGCAGCAGGCGATATGGAAGATGAGGCGTTATCACGGCGACGTTCCTGCTCGGCTTCTGTACGTTGTTGGGCGAGCTGACGGTTTGAGAGTGGACGGTCTGGGCCGCCGACTGCGGGAGATGTTAGCAGAAAAGTAATCAAGGATAATCATAGAGTAGATCTTACTGAGCAGGTCCATATCAGCTGGCGTTACATATTGGGTACCGGATATCCATTGTATGTTGCTGATCGTCGGTCGTGGCGGAATGACTAGATCTGGATTGAGCAAGACATCCTTTGCTCGATCACTTGAAGCTGTTAGTACCAACAATCAACTATGGATACCATCACTTACTATCGGAACCCTGCTCCGAATATGTTAATCAGACCCAACTCTGCTGGACCTTTCCATCCAAGAATATCTCCCGTGGCTGTGATGATCGCCTCTGAAAACCGTCGAACATCCAGGAATTCACTGACATTGACGGATGCAATTTCCTTCAGGGCTGGTATCGAGTAGGCTCTTGCACAGCCATCACCATAGAGACCAAGCAGCGCATACCCATTTTCCTCGT